CTTGGGAGTAATGTTCACCATGAATCCTTAATACATCATTGTGCTGTTTGAGAAGGTTAAGATTTCCATAACATAAAATGAGACTTTTGTTTATAGTGAAATATCCTGTCATCACATCCTTTTCCTTAAACGGTGATGTGATACGGGTTTCTATGCAAGGAGTCATTACTTTGTTGAGAAATAAGACAATTTTGAAATTTAGGATAACTGTTGCTCAAATAAAATCAATCCTACTGATAGGTTTAGAAACAAAGGAATCTTACATTTATGCTTCTGCTTTCTTGTGTTCTTGGGGGGTAGGCTTCAGAGTAGTGTGCATGAAGAGGGGATTGTTTTTGTGGAGACAAGTCTGGTATTTCAGGGAAGTGAGAAAGTAATAACAGATGTAAAGTCAAGGTGAGAAACGGCACCCACTCCTCCCTCCTTCCTGCCCCCCACTTCAAGTCACATTCCATCTGGAATACTTTAGGCCATTCCCTAACATTTTACTTACTGAAAATAAAGCCTGGAAATTTTGATCAGCTTACCCTCTGTTTGGGACACTAAGTATTAAGCCTTAGTTCCCATGATTTACTTACAGAGTGGAAACTAATAAGAATTCAAACACTTCATTGTGCATTATAGGTTAAAATATATCACCCTACTTAACTTTGTTCTAAATAAATGATGGTTTCTAACTCACCTCCACCCCCCTTTTTTTATCGCCCACCCAGCTGGGTTCCATTTTTTGTTTTATTTGGTTCTTTACCATTGAGCCCAGCCAGATCCTACTTTTCCAGACCAAGCCAAGAGTTACTCAAACAATCATGGTTTCTCTTTTATTTGGATTCAACAGCACCAACTTGTGGAGCAAGGGTCCAAGAGTAGGTATTCGTCTTTTCACATAACTCTTGGGGTCCTACTTGCTGTAAGGCACATTGGAGACCTGAGACCACTTGCTTGCTTGTAGAGTCTGCAATAGCTGCCACCTCTCCCAACCTGGCCCACCCTTGCTGTTCATGCCGAGACATCTTCTTCAGCTCTGTTCTGAGGCCAGCCTGTCTCCTGGATTAGTCCTCAGATCTTCTGCCAAACCCTGGTATCAGGGCCTCTACTTCATACTATGTTGATTTCTTTTTAACTCTTTGCTCTTTGGGGGCCTGCCACCTAGCTCCCAAATAAATACACACAGACTTATTCTTACTCATGAATGCCCAGCCTTAGTTTGGTTTGCTTCTAGCCAGCTTTTCTTAACTTAAATTATCCTGGCTACCTTTTGCCTGTGGGCTTTTACCTTTCTTTATTCCATATATCTTTCTTTACTTCTTACTCCATGGCTGGCTGTGGCTGGCCCCTGGCATCGTCCTCTCCTCCTTTTCTCATTTCTCTCCCTTCTCTCCTCTCTTGTTTATTCTCTCTGCCTGGCAGCCCCACCTTTTCTTCTACTGCCTAGCTATTGGCTGTTCAGCTCTTTATTTGACCAATTAGGTGTTTTAGGCAGGCAAAATAACACAGATTCACAGAGTTAATCAAATGCAACATAAAATAATGCAACACATCTTTAAAAAAAATTTCCATGGCATAAACAAATGTAACACATCTTAAGCTAATATTTCACAACATCATACTTTGCTCTTGAAGGCCACTCAAACAGACCAGTAATTTCACACATGAGTCTCATACAGGACAGGAATCAGTGGGGAAGTTTTCCTACTGGCAGTGGGCTTGCCAAGACTCTACTTTGCTGACCTAGCCTTTAGAATGTTGCCTTATATTGTTATACCCAAATTCTTCCTTTCCCCACTTACTCCATTCATCCTCTGGGCTATGCCTATGCCTTGTGTGCCCTTCAGGCATAAATCTTGATGGATGGCTGTCCTTCCTAAGGAGTGAGTGTGGTCCCAAGCACTGAGACCATCCCTCTTTTCTTGCTAATGTATATGAACATGTCCTCTTCAATGTTTGCAACAGAAATCACCAAAAGCAACAATTACAGACCAATGGCTGTTCTCATTGGTGGAGAAGCAACATAAAGTCCATTGAGAAATACTTTAAAGTATCTCTTTTACTATGTTAACATCCACATGTTATGTATAAACAAAAAAAGAGTCATCAAGTTGTACTTTTTCAGGGGTTTCTTTTAAAAATTTTTGTTATAGTGCATTGAACATTAAAATTATAATTATCATATCAGACTTCCTAGGTTAGGCAACCAAGAAACAAACAGAAAGTGTGTTCTCAGAGGCTGGTAGAGAAGAGCCTGCCAAACGCTAGCAACATCAACCATCTTGCTGGTTCTCAGTAGTGGTGGTACCGCCCCCTAGAGGCCTTTTCAGAAATGCTTGGGAGCCCTGCTGGTTTCCACAATTGGTGACTGTACTCTGTAGTCTCTGATAGAGCAGGGTTGCTAAATGCCCTACAAGGCAGAGGAAATAAACCCAAAGAGGAAGGCAAATCTTCACCCTTTGAATACACCTCCCCACCACGCCGCCACCAAATAGTCACATAAAGGAGAATTTGTTTGCAGTTATTTGAGCCTAACCCCAAATGCTATTTTGCACAGAGACATGAAGTCTTTGAAACACTCTTAAGATATGCAGAAAATTCAGGGTAAAAACTAACTAAAGAGCAAAAGAAAGCTATCCTGGGCTTTGTCATGATCCCCCTCAGCAAGATTCATTAGCATTTTGGAAAATGATGCTCGAAGCGACCACGCCCAACTTAGTCTTGAGTAAGCTGGACCGCAAACCTGTTTGTCTTCATCTGTAGATGTCACAGAAAAGCATTCTAAGAGAGATCTAAGACTTGCATGTCTTAAAAGATAGGAAATTTTCTTTGATATTTTGTAGCTTTACTAATCCATTTAATAACATTGGGAATTATTTTGACATTACTGTCATAAACATGGGTTAGCTTATTTGCAAGAACACTTCTAGACTCTGAATTTATTTTCCATTGACATTTTTCCCTACTTAAGTCCAGAAGATTCCCTTCTTTTGATTATCAGATACAAAAATGTTTAGCCTGTTGGTACTTAGCCAGCACTCCTTTTTTTGTCCTTGTACCCATTCCTACTTCCCTGTTTCATTTCACCAAACATCTTAAACAGAAGGACTTGAGGCCTTCTGAACCCATGCTTACTCATTATAAATAAGTGCAAGCATATAACCACTTTGTTATGTCTTCAGTGCCTTGCTGTCCATGTATTTACATGTGGAAGCACATGTGATTTTTATCACAGAAGTTGTTTCCCTGAGTTATGCTTCTTCTCATACTTAGGTATTATATTTTAGGTGGGTGATTGAATTACCTAGACATCTTATTTTAGGATTCTATTATCTTTTTTTTTTATCCTATTACCTTTTTATTGTTGTGACAACATACCCAAGCAAAGTAACTTACAGACGGAAAGGGCTTGTTTGGGATGAATTTTTAAGTTCTCAGTCTGTGTATGCTTGGCACAGTTGTTTCCAAGTCTAGTATGAATACTAGTCAATCAAAGTGATGCCAGATATTTACAACAAACATTGTAGCAGGGGGACTCAGGTGAATACTGGCATCCCAAGAGTCCTGATTTATCCATTGACCCAGTCCTAACAGGGTAGTGTGAAGTCACATGTCTTCACCTAGAACAATGGTACCCACATGTGATGTTTTGAATGAGAGTAGCCCCATGCACTGATATATTGGAATGTTTGATCCCCTGTTTAGGAAGGATGAGATGGTATGGCCTTGAAGCAGGTGAGTCACTGGGGACAGGCTTTTAGATCTCAAAACCCCTTGCCCCCCACCCTCTGGTTTGTGTATCAAGATCTAAGCTCTCAGCTACTGCCCCAGAGCCATGCCTATCTTCCTGCCACCAGGCTCCCTACCATGATATCTTACCTGATATAGGATATAGACTCTGATCCTTTGAAACTGTAAGCCTCAAATGAACTCTTTCTTTTCTAAGTTGTCTTGGTCATGGTGTCCTATTACAGTGACAGAAAAGTAACCAAGACAAAAAGTTTTACTCAATACATGTGTTATTCCATTTGTTCCTGTTTTTAAATAAGCACTATATATAGCTATTCTTACCTCTGACTTTACAAATGAAGACAACGAAAGATTAAGAGGGTCAAACAAAGTTACAAGACTAGCAAACAGCAGAGCTGGGAGTGGAGAGTAATCTTTTGGCCCCTAAAACCAATACTTAACTCCAGTATTTAAAATTCAACTACCTTCCATGAGTAGAGTAGACAAATCACATATGGTCATGGGATTTATGGCAGAAATTTTTGCCTGAGAAAGAGACGAAAGAAGACATGAGAGTGAGATGCACAGCCAGGTGATAGCATTACACTGTTTGGCATGGTGGGTACCAATTAATATAGGATGGATAAATTAATAAGGTTGTGTAAAAGAGAAGTAAGACAAGCCTTGAGGATATTCTTCAAGACTTGGAATGTGTTATAATTTAAAAAACGATACTTGAGAGAAAGACACCATGCAACAGAGCTCATGTGAAGGGTTTTTTTTTTTTTTAATTAGGGGAAAGGGAATGGGAAAGGGGGAGAGGAAGGGGGAGAGTGGCCTATGGGGGCAGGAGCAGCAAAAGAGAAGAAACAGAGACAGACAGAAAGAACACACACACACACACACACACACAGAGAGAGAGAGAGAGAGACAGAGACAGAGACAGAGACAGAGAACAGAGGGAGAGACAGAGGAGCAGAGAGAGACAGAAAGAACAGAAAGGGGAGGGAGCAAGTGGGAGAGAGAGAGAGAGAGAGAGAGAGAGAGAGAGAGAGAGAGAGAGAGCGAGGAGAGGAGGTGGGCAGGGCCCTTTAAAAGGGAACATAGTGGGTGTGCACAGATAGTGCTCTCAGTGGCTGCAGCTGAGGATGAATCCTGTCAGAATCCCAAGGACAGGCCAGTACAGATGCCTGAATACTAGCAGAATGGCCTTTAGTCTTGAAGCATTGTTTTAAAGGAGAGAAACCCAGATAGAGTGCAGTTGCTGTAAGTGTTTTCAAACTTACTGTGCATGGAGGCCCAGGGGCAAGGTCAGGCTCTCAGGCATTTGATTCCAAGCACTCCAGGGTACCACCAGTCTGCATAACAGTTTCCACAAGCTGGGACAATTTTACTTCCACTCTTGAGTCTCTGGGGAAGGGAGAAGAACCAACAGTGTGTTCAAGATCTTACTTCTACTTTGTCAAAAACAAAACAAACAACAATAACAAAAAAGCTTCAAGAGCCATGTGTCTTCCCAAAGCCACTCACTTGCTCTGGATGGGGTGGGGTCAGCAGTATTAAGCTATCCTACTAGGATGAGGAGGACAGCCCAAGAAAATAGTACAGAATGAGAAGTTCTTTCAGGATTCGGGGGTTGCCACTGGAAATAGGAGAGAAGTGAGTAAGAAACATAAACAATGCACTTGTCTGGATCAGTCTTATTTGGCAATTGTATGATGTTAGTAGATGATGTATAACTATTTTTTTTAAATCCCATGGCTTTCAAAGTTACTGACAATCCAAGCACATGTCCTAACTTAACTGAGTTCTGCTAAAGGTTAGAGGGGGAAAGCACCCACTGAAAGGTGCAGGGGAGCTGACACCTATGGTTTCTGGTCTCCCTGGGGCTCCTGAGACCAGACAGATAACAGTATATTGTTCACTTGGATTGGTTTTTTCCTGACGTTATCAGGTGGGCAGGATTTGCTCTTTCACCTCTAGCATTTTCAGCTTCTGCATTTCATACTCTTGGAGGTGGGCTGGGATGGTGCAAGGGAAGAAAAGCATTCCTCTACAGGTGTCATAGCCAAATGTCAGTGTGCTGAGAAGAGGGTCTCCACCCCAAAGAGGCTTGGGAATCAAGTGTGGCCCATTGCTGGGTGTGTCTTTCCACAGTTCCCTCCAGAATCATTACCTAGTAATGGTCATGTGCCATTTCTAGATCCTTAGGATGCAGGTGTCCCAGAGATGTTTAAAACCATCTAAAGGACGAACATTTTAACGTGTATTGACACCATTACCTCATGAAATTTCTAAGAAATTTCCCAGAAATTTCAGTGAAACACACTCTTTTAAATAAAAAACAATTCTTGTTTTTATTAAATAGAATAGTGAAAGAAAACTGGGAAAAATCTAAATACCGAGTAATTAAAATTTAGAAATCAAGTAATTAAATTGAAAAATGTGCTGATTTGAAATAGATACTCTATTTAATGTTTATTACATATGTTATAATTGTTATCCAACAATGAGTTGAGCCAAAAAACATAGCCAGCCAAACTAGATAAGCCAAAACATATTATTCTAAACATGACTAGTTTTAAAAGAATGTCTTAATTTGCTACATTATAGCAAACTTCTTAGGAAACCCAGGATTCTTATATGTACAAGACAAATTTATAAGAAACATTGCCAATTTTATGAGTAATTTGCTAAATCATTTAAAGGAAAGATGGCTGTGTTAGCTTTTTCTGGGTCTGTTCTAACAAATTATCACAAACTTGGTGGCTTGAAAAACAGAAAGACCACAATGGTCTCATTGGTACCACGGTGCCAGCAGGGCTTTTGCCTACTTGAATAGATCTAGTCTCCTTGCCAAGATCAACTTTCCATCCCTGTTTGCTTGTCTTGGTTTGTAATCCAATCCTTCATCTTCAGAGGCTACAATATGGCATTTGGTTTGGCTGTCTTTCTTTCTGTCTCTAACCATCTTCTTCTTGTGAGTTCTTGTCATTGTATTTAAGGCTCATTGGGATAATACAGGAGAATGCCCCCACCCCTGCCTCATCTCAAGAACTCTAGCATGATTGATAAAGTCTTGAGAAATCTTCTGGTTATAGAAAGTGACTTTCAGAGGTCCCAGAACCTGCATCTGGGGGGAATGCTGTTATCTTTTAACTCAGCAGAGTGGCACACGTGACTTATGCGAAAGGTAGATGGCTTGAGGTGCTAGCTCCAAACTGGATGTAAGCTAAGGCAATTTTACTAGTAATTTAGACCACCAATTTTTCTAAAATATGAGTACAGGAGAGATACAGACATGAGGCAAAGGTCAGCTAACCCTGGCTAATCTCCATTTAAATAATCAAGAAAATATGCCCCTCAATATTTCCAACAGCCTTGTAGTTACTGAAATCAATGAGTATGTTGCTACTTCCTTCTCTTTTTTGTTTTTCTGATCAGGAATTTCAGTAAAATTGCTATTCAGCTGATCTCTCAAAATCAATTAGTTGGATTGTCTTCAACAGTGGTGGGGGAGGGTGGTAGAATAGGGAGGTCCTATACTGCTTCCTTTTTGACTTGAATATCATGTAATGGTTTGATGTGTGTCTTGATTTGCTCCTGTTTTAAAACACTTTCATGCAATCTGGAGTAAACCATGGTTACAATTCTGTGTTCCAATTTCAGGCTCGCTGGGTGGATCCAACTGATGGTGGACCCAATTTTCTGAATGGCTGGAGGTAAGCAGATTTGGTGGAAGGCCGAAGAATCTCTTGCTTCCTGTACAAACTTCTTATGGGAAATTACCAATATGGAGCCAGGTAAAAATACAAGGGACTCTAATAGGGAAAAGCCTTACTTACAGAGTGACCTAGCCAGCCAGCAGCAATAACTACAGCAAGCCAAAGATGAAAGCGAAAGCAGGGCTGCCACTTGAGCATCCCTCACTCTTAACCCCTCCCTACATCACCCTCGGAGGCGTGGTCAGGCACCTGTAGCCAGCCCCTAAGCAGGCGTGGCTACAGCATCCCCTACACAAACTACATATTAATGGCTAAAAAATGAAGCAATGTATTGCCCAACAAACTCATTGGGCAGTTGAGTCAGTAGCTAAGTCCCACTGATAGTTCTTTAGATAATCATGGGTGTTGAGTTCAGTTGTTCTGTTTTAGTCTCAATAGATCTCTAGAGGAAAAAATAAGGGGTTATTTCTATATGATGAAAAAATATTATTGGGGCCCTCCTCACCTTCCAACTCTACTCAATAGTACATAAAAAAGACTGCCCTTGGAGCACAAAATCTTTAGCTCCTCTCCCGCCACCCCCACCCTCACCCCTGCCCTGGCCCCCAGACTCTGTTTAGGATAGACTCTTCTGTATTCTGTGAATACGAGGGTGACTGTCTGCCTCTCTTTTACATGAGGGTCTTGTCCTTGTTTTCTGCTTAAAGTGCTCACTCTCTAGTACAAATGCAGCCCCCTGTGTTGCATTCTTATCACCATCTGTACTCTTCAAATGAAACCATTATTGATGAGGCGATGCACTCGGGACCCACACCAGTTCCCAGCATCTTCGCTCTAAATCCCATCCTAGCCATCCCCACCTGTCTGTCTGCTGTTGGGACTCGCCTGCTCAGGGAAGTGGCAGCGCCAGGCCCTTAAAGCATGCTACTGGCTCTTCTCCAGACACTCCTTACAGGGGTTACAGCCACAAGCCTGCAACCCCTGACCCTCGAAACCAGCAGAAATTAGCGCTCCCTCCCTCCCTCCCTCCCTCCCAGAAAGTTGTTTATTTTTCTGTTAACAAAGGCAAAAGAGTCCTTTGTGAACGATCTGCTTGGAATTTAAGTGTACAGTATTGCTGACAGAGCGCTGAAAACTCGTCGTGCAGTGTACTTCTTCCTCCAAGGCTGGCAGTCTGGGAACTCGCCAGCTTTCTTTCTTTTTCCAGTTATTCCGACCCTGTGTGGAGATCTCAATGCCCCAGCCCACCTCCTTCTGTCCTATTGCTACCACCCAGGCACTTGCTCCCAGGACTTCTAAACTGTGGGTTTGTTTGGAAGGCTCCTTTCCAAAACAAAGATTAAAACGCCTGCTCTCTTTAATAGCTTCACAGAACACTGTTGCTTGTTAATGTTCAGACACCGACCGCACTGGGAAGAGTCATTGCTCGTGTCAACTCATCAAGTAGTCTAAACAAGCCTGTTGGAGGCTGGCCAGCTCCGGACAGTCATTGACCACAGATGCGATCTGGAAGCCCATTACAACTTGTGGAAGCGAAAGGTACCGCTGCTTCCTGTCTAGCCCGCTTCCCAGGGGTTAGTCCCAGAACCACCAGACATTGAGGCCAGTGGGGTTATGTTCAGCTGCAGACAAGATCTGCCTCTTCTGTTAGAATCAAAATTGAGATGGATGGGAGAGCTTTGGAGAAGCCAGAAATACCATCACTATCTGGTGCTCAGCAACTGTACGTTTACAATTTAGTTCTGCGGTTAAAAGGCGCTGATAGCTTTTGTCCTACTTGAATTCTTGATGAGCCACTGGATTTGAGAGAGAGTTGACTTCTTTAGATTATCACAGTGTGTTTTAGGAAGATCTTGGGGTTTTGTTGAAGTACATTTATTCCAGCCAGTCAAGGAGGTTTCTTTACAAAAAAACAAAACAACAACAACAACAACAACAACAAAAAGGCCATTCCAAAGTGAGGATGAAACCTCATTAAGTATGCCCTTCTGGCAGTAGCAGTAATAAACTGGGGAAAAGAAACTTAGAAAGATTGCAACTAGGAAATTTTTGCAGAATTGTTTTGCTGTCTGACTCTGGAGTTTTCCTTCGCAGAAAGAAAAAAAAAAAAGTCACTGTACATTACATTCAAGCTCTAATTTTTATCTCACTAATTAGTTGAGAACTTTCATTATGTGCCAGGAGCTGTGCTAAAATGTCAGAAATTCAAAAATGAAACCACCAGTGATACTTGCCTCCAAAGAAGACATACTGGAAATAATTGCTATTCCGTCATGGCGAGGTGTAGAAAGTGCCAAAAAAAAAAAAAAAAAAAAAAAAAAAAACCGGGGGGGGGGGGGGAAAGGCTTGATTAAAGGTTAAAGGAAGTTGTATTTGATGTGAAGGGCTGTGAGAATTTGTTGAATGAAAGGTTTCAGGAGGAGAATAAAAGAGGGAAGATGTTGTTGCAACTGCATAGAGCTTTGCAGAGAGAAAGATACACCAGCAAGGTACCATCATCAATGCTGTGTAATCCCTGTTTACATTTTATTCTTTGCCTAAAGGCAGATGAATGAAAAGTTCAAGAGAGAGAATTATCATGACCAGACTCACAAACAAAAGAAAAACCATAGACTCTCATTTTATAAAGTGACTGCATAGGCAGTGAGATTCATGAGTTCCACCAGCCACCCTCCATTGTAGTTGTAACCGATCAGGGCAGAGAAGCCCTTTCTCTTTCTCTCTCATGATCCGTTGCTGACGTCAGGAGAGTTGCAAGTGTTTAGGTATGGGCAAGCCAGTGGGAAATATGCAGAGCCCCTCATACTTCATATCTGTCCACAGCTCACCTGTTCTCACGCCTCTTGCTGCTTTGCCTCCAGTGTGAAACAGGGTCCACCCTATTTTCATTTAGATCAGTGACCATACAACTTTTCAAAACACACACAAACATGCATGGATTAGAGCTACAATAAGGGAAACAAGGAGATGCTGACACAAAGCTGGAAAGTTCGATGGAAGACACACTTTAGTCACAACCAGATTCAAGTGGGAGACCTGCCTCGACATGGTAGGTGAAGAGTGACCAAAAAGGATGCCTGGCAGCAGCCTCTGCCCTCCACACATGTGCACACACAGGCAAATGTACCTGTATGCACATCCACCTATACATGCAAACATGCACACAGACACACACACAGACACACAGACACACAGACACACACACACACACACACACACACACACAGAATATCCACACCACCACCCCCAACTACACCCTCTTTCTCTCACATACACATTCACAAACTATCTGCCAGCTTTATATTTCTGTTCTCTTTTTCTACACCTCAAGAAAAAAAAAAAAGAATTTGCTTTGGGATTCCCAAGAATTGAGTCAAAGGGGCTTGTACCATGACTTAATGCATCAATGAATTCATTTTCAGTTTAGATGATTTCTTTCCTAAGAAAAATAATGAACCATAAGGATGCATGTTCTTACTGGTAATCTCCCAGCTTACTCTTAGAGCAAACCTAGGGACACAAGTGAGTGATATCACAGGCAGTAACTAGTAACTACTGACTGGTCCATTTGCACGTTGTTGTTATTTAAGGTGCCAGTGAATCTGAAACACCGAGGTTATGCCATGTAAAGCAGGTTTGCAGAGAACCCAGGTTTGGTTCCTAGCACCCACATGGTAGCTCACAACCATCTAAAACTCCACTTCCAGGGGATCTAACACCCTCTTCTGGCCACCAGGACATTGTTTTTTGCAGATTTTTTTTTATTATTTGAATTAGAAACAAGATTGTTTTACATGACAATCCCAGTTCCCTTCTCCCTCCAGTCCTCCCCTACCACCCCACAACTAAAACCCTACCTATCACATATCCTTTCTGCTCCCCCTGGATGGTGAGGGCTTCCATAGGGGGTCAGCAGAGTCTTTCGTATCTTTTGGTATAGGGCCTAGGCCCACCCCTGTGTGTCTTGGCTCAGGTAGTATCCCTCTATGTGGAATTGGCTCCCAAAGTCCACACCTATGCTAGGGATAAGTACTGAACTACTGCAGGAGGTCCCATAGATTTCTGAGGTTTCCTCACTGAAACCCATGTTCCTGGGGTCTGCCACCAGGACATTGTACATACACACACACACACACACACACACACACACACACACACACAGTGCACAGTGCACAGATATACATGCAGGCAAAAATTCACACAAATAAAAATTCTTTAAAATTTAAAAACTTTAACTTTAAAAAAAATAATGTAACTCTTCCCGATTATTTTTAAAAACCAGAACCCTACTATCACTCACATATAGTTATAATATCGTTTCTCTAAAATGCTGTTTCGAGGCTTGGATCATAATTCCATGGTAGAATACTTGCCTAACATGAATGGGACTTTGGGTTTGATCCCCAATGCTCAAAAACAAACCAACAAACAAACAAACAAAAAGTTTTTGTGGCACAAAACTGCTCTACTGTTATCTCTGGGGCTTTACTTCAAGTGCTAGCTTCCCACTTCTGTGACCAGTATTAATCACTTTATCTAGCCAGATCTCAGAGGGCGCTTTCCAGACAACAGCCAGGGTCTCGATTTCTTCCTCAGAGTATCTTTTAACCGCCTGCTGATTAAATTGTTGAAGGGTTGAAATAAGCCAGTCACACTTCCCGAATGTCAGTCTAACTCCATAACTCAGGGTTACGTGAGCAGAAGCAACAAGCGGTTCTTGAGACAATTATCTCAAGACTCTAGCAATGATTGTGAGATGTCAGTGACTGTAAGAATTCAGAGTTTTTAATTGGAGCATCAATAAATTCAGAAGAGATAAAAGATATTGGAGAGCTGAGGATATAAATTCGAGCTCTTTCAACTGTTTGCAGGGACAGTGGGCAGGCTAGCAGGAAGCTGGGGCTGCAGACTTTGATGCCTGCTGACCGTTATCTCCTCTAACTCTGAGGATTACACAGTGTCCCCAAAGGCCCAGGCTTGCTTCAGTGTCTTTAGGAGATGCTAAGCATTTAAAGGTCTTCCTCAGTTTCTCACATAATGATGGGTAGGTTTAAACCACACAACAGACAATGTTAGGAGTCTTCGAACCACCTCAGGAGGGAATCTGAGGTGCTTTCTTGAAAATAGATATATGGAAACTGCCCAGTACTCCAAATCAGCAGTTCTCAACCTATGGGTCAAGACACTTTTGGAGTGTGTGTGTGTCACATATCAGATATCCAGCATATCAGAAATTTACATTAAGATATATAACAGTGGCAAAATTACAGTTATGAAGTGGCAATGAAAATAATGCTATGGTTGGGGGTCACCGCAACCTGAGGAAATGTATTAAAAGGTCGAAGCATTTAGGAAGGTTGACAAACCACTGGCCTAAATAAAAAGCAGGTCAATTTTCATATTTGTTTCATGGAGGAATGCAATGGGTATCACTTAGTGATCAGTCATACTAGAGTGTAGAAGGAAGTCCCAAAGCTAACAAATGCTAGTATGTTTTATAGGAAAGGAAGGAGAAAGGGAGGAGGGAAGGGAGGGGGAGGGAGGGAGGGAGAAAAAAAAGAGGAAAGAAAACTCCCAAGACTATACAAAATCGTGTAGTACAAAAGTAGGACGCAAAAGTTGTAAAGCCCTGTTACCTTCCCCTTTGAAGAGGCAGGGTGGGACGCACAGATGCTGAAGACCAGGGGACAGGACAAGCATATCTTCCTCAGTTACTGTGTTCATGTTACTTGTGTTAAGACTGTGGTCCAGGACCTTCCGATTTGAAGCCCAGAACTTTGCCCCTTTGTATTTCTCTCTACAGGGAAAGCGGACCGTGCTTCCAGCCAGTCGCAGGCTTATGAAGCCGGTCTATCCAGTACATAGTTTTTGTTTAAAGCCGTCAGCACAAATTCCTACTTCAGGATGGGACGAAGTAAGTCCAACACACCCATATACAACATGTTCAAATCACCCCTGCCTCTCGAGATCCCAGAAGCTTGCTTGCATTGTGTGGCATGAGACACAGGAAGCAAATGGCTGAGCTGCCTGCTGTAAGAACTCCACCAGCTCCAGCTGCTGGAGGTTATGTGTTCTGTCTGTGTGTGACTCACAAGAGTTGGGAAGAGACACAGGTTTTTGCCTCATGTGGCTCTTTACCCTCTGCTTAAACAGAAACACAGCAGGGACCGTACCACATGATCGGCACCTGAAACCGTAACTCATCTTGGGTTCATTTGAAATCTGCCCTTACTTTAGTTCAGGGCTTCAGGCAAGTTCACGCAGAGGTCCACCAGCCACAGCAGACCTTCCGGCGAACTTGACCTGAATTTGAGAATTGGATTTATAAGTTTGGCGTTTTCATTCAGGAGTGTTGCCTCACCCCTCCGCTATCTGAGCCGCAATCTGAAATCCCATCAGGCGCACTTCAGACCATATGGAATAAAGATAGAGGCTTCTGTGGCTCTGGCGGGCCACACATTCATTCCAACGTCTTCTTATCCTCAACAGGCCCAGCTAGACCAAAAAGGAAACTGTTTTCATTTTTCTTTAAAAAAAAAAAAAAAAAAAAGACATTGGATATTAGTCTCAGTTGCTAGAAAATGAACTGGTCAAAAAGCCAATCCATTTCTTGACACTCCATTACATATGCTGAGGGACTGTGCACTGAGCGTTTGCCTTTCCGACTCTCATCAGATATGTTTGCTGTTTCTGAATGTAGCAATCCCTCATGACTGCATAATGCATTCGGAATCGAACTATTATTTATGACAATAAGTTCATATTGTTGCAAATTTTCAAAAACGGCTCTAATAATATAATTTTAATTCTGAAAGTTACAATGCAAAATTGAAGCCCTTCAAAATATTACAGATATCTAGAACAGTGGAGAGAAGTCTTTAAAGGGGCAAATAAAAGATTCTATATCTTGAAGGTCAGGGTTTGTATCATTGATTTTTCTCTATGCTGGTTGGAGCCCAGTAAGAGAGCTAATTGCCATGTAGTATTCTAATCTCTATAAAGATGACACTACTTTTAAGAGGGACCACGTTTGGTTGCTGTTTTCAGTATAGATATTGGTATATTCTAAGATGGAATGGAGGAAACCCACATAAAATACAGAAATCTTGTTTAGTTTTGACAACGAGGAGAAACTTCATTTTCTTTGGGGAGGAACACAAACCGAGGCTTTCCTTGGTTAAAGGCTCTGAGAGACATCCGGCTGCAAAATACTGGGATTTTTCAGGGGAGTCTATACTTTACAGTTGGTTTCCAACTTATTTCTAAATCCTTGGGCAACAGATTAGCTTTGCAGCATAGCCTTATTTATTCAGGCATATTAGAAATCAAAGTGGGGCTTGAGTTGGGAAAATGTCTGAATTGAAGACTGTACAGAAATGCATCTGGATTCCTTTTAAAGACGGACAGTCATCGAAACGTGGCTAATAAAATTTCGAAGCCAGAGCCTTTGAAGGAAACTGTTTCCTGAACTGAAGGGGCAGCTGAGGATAAATTATAATCATCAAGCCCGTTGTTTCTAATAAGTGGGATCCTGAAACTTGTCTCTTCCTTTAAGATTTAAGAGTTCTCTCCCAAGTTTAGCTTTCACTATTTTTTTTTTTCTGGGTGCGCTTTTTGTTCCTAGATAGTATGTCAGCTCAGCTCAGGGCTCCATGAGAAATGGGCGGGGGGTGGGGTGGAAAGGGGGCACTCCCTGACCCAGCTGCTGCTTCCTCAGCTAATTCAACTGGCATTATTCTTTTCTCTCTCATTGTGTCATCCCAGTCAGATAAACAAACTTCCCCAAACTCTGTCTCCTCTCTTCCCAAGTGGGCTCATCCCTTCAAACTCATAAGACAAATCCTTGCCTTTGTTCTCCTGAGAGTCCAAACCGGCCCACTGTTTCCCCATGCTCCCACTAACTTCTTTCTCTGCTTCTATTTCTTTGGTCCCAAACATTAACAAGGCAACTGATCTCACCCAGCACTGCCACAATTCCTCAGCTCCTTTGTCCCTCCTCACCAGCCTTCTCTCAGTCAGTCAGTCAGTCAGTCAGTCCATCTCTCAGGATGCAGAGAAATTGACTGTCTCTGACATCATCCCTTACCCCTATGGCTCTTTGGCCAGCCCCTGTGAGCAGGCTCAGTATTAGACCTCTGCTCTTTTCGATGTGTTTCCCCAGCTTCTCCTTTAAGTAAACCTTGTGCTTGGGCAAATCAGATGATTTGTGGCTTTCCAAACACATCGTGGACTTTAAAACCCCGTAACACATTCTCATACCATTCCACCAGACTGGAATGCTATCCCCCTTTCTCCTCTCAAATTCCTACCAACGTTTCAGGGTCCAAAACAAATATGATAGTCTCCATTTGTGTGTGTGTGTGTGTGTGTGTGTGTGTGTGTGTGTGTGTGTGTGAGAGAGAGAGAGAGAGAGAGAGAGAGAGAGAGAGACTATTACTTTCGAGCATACATTCAGAAATTCAGAAGCACTAACCATATTTATAAACTCATGATCAAGTATGTTGTGAATGTATAAGACATATATCCAGGAATTACAATGTCTTATATTCACACAACACTTTGCACTCTTTCACCCTTATCATCTCTTGTAATGTTTACACCAAACTTATGAGATGGCCTGGTATCAACAGGTGAAGACTGTAAGTCTCAGAGGTTGGTGGATTGGCCGCTGTCACCCAGCTAAAAAGCAATGGACGCAGAATTCACACCTGGGACTTGTAATAACAATTCCAGTGTACTTTGGGCCATATTACAATGACCTCCATCCTAATGAGACAGTGATGTCATTGAAGTGATTCCTGTAGCAGATGTGGTAAGAGGCCAGGCCATGGAGGGTCACAGGAGGTTTCTGAGCTGAGGAGAAGTGTGATCAAAGCACTGCTGTAGGAAGATTGATCTGGGGGTATTGCGGCCTGCACTCAAGCAGGAATGACCTGCAGGGAGTCATCTTCGTCCTCTGGACTCCTGTGGCTCTTTGTTAATGGTCCTGGTGTAGATTTGCTCTGGTGTCACAAGCGGGTTATTTATTTATTTCCTCCCATCCTACAATGCTGTCCCTGCTGCAGTGTTGGCAAGATTGAAGGTGGCTTTAAATCCTCTTACATTTCATAACTGTATTCATACAACTACATCTTATCACATCCAACTTGATTGCAAGCCTGGAGCATGGACAATGTCAATTTTGAAATTTTCAGGCTGTGTTTGACACGCTGGGAGTGATGTGTAAGATTCAGTGAATGAATGAAGGAAGGGAAGAAAGTCTGTTGAAGACAGATGGGGTCAAGGACATGGTTAAATGTATCACAGTGCTGGGTACTTTGAAGTCATGTGCAGCCCTTCATAGGATGAAGCAGATCTACAAGAATTTAAAGGTGAGAAGTCTGTGATCTATATACTGTTGACACATAGAATACATGTGTATCATATACAGAATAAAATGATCCTCTCTCTCTCTCTCTCTCTCTCTCTCTCTCTCTCTCTCTCTCTGTGTGTGTGTGTGTGTGTGTGTGTAGTGTGGTGCCCAATTTTCCAAGCCCATTGTTCATTTAGAAATATTTACACTGGTAGTCTCTGGAAAAAGTATTAAGGTAGGGAAGACTCAAATGTCAGGCTATTGGTTGAATCCAGGGTTATTTTGTACAGACTATAAAGTCCATTTTACATGAACTTGTGTGGCTTTTGTATGTCTGAAGAATTTGGGAACCTAAACTATATATGATTAAGAATCAACACTGCAGTTTCTCAATGAGGCATGGAAAGTACCATGTACCTTTCTCTCACACACTAAAGGTCTTCATTTTGTTTAATTCTGGAAAGCCAGACTGTCTAGCTTTTGTTCTACCTTTTAGCCCAGCTTCCTTCCCCATGCTGATGGTACCTACACGACACACTGTCTCTCCCATCCCTGCTGCTTCTCACACCTCTACCCTACAGGACACGCTATCTCTCACACCTCTACCCTACAGGACACATTGCCTCACACATAGTCTTCTGGCTTCCTTTTATGTCATTCCTTTTCTAAGAATTTTAACTGCCAAGCCCCCAGATTTGACTCTTCTGCTTGGAGTAGTTCCCAGGGTCCAACCTTTTCTGGCAGGTTCCCAATGCTTGTTCACATTTTCAGTGCAGTTCCTGGGTGGCTCAGTCCCTTGTGTTTAATCCTCTCTGCTCTGTCTTTAAGTCAACAGAAAGAATCATGTCTGGCTTATTCCCCTTATCACCTCCCTACCTTGGTGAGCCCCTGGCCAATAGCCATTATTTTTCAGAAGGCAATGATTTTAGTGGTAAATCTGTGTTCTATATCCATGAGAATATAGCTTCAAAGAGTTACAGAGTTTTCTCCTGTTTTTCAATTGTAAATACTCAGATCCTCGTTAGAATTAGATTTCTTCCATTAGCCATCAGTCTTTCTTTTCCTTGCAGATACATGTTAGTCTCCTGAAGTGTTTCCTGCCCCCTCCCTCAATGCCATCCAATACCATTTATGCTCAGTTCCCCTAACACTTCAAATATGACCAATTGTCCAACTTTTCATCAGAACACAGTGCATCGAACTTTGTCTTAGACAATCAGGGGAGTCACTTTATGAAAACCTCAGGAGACCACAGCTGCCACATGCCTTTTATAGTTACTGCCACCCAACTTCTTTTTGAGCATTAGTGGAGGCTCACAAAGCCAAGTGTGGGACTCAGTGTCTTTCTTCAAAGGGACTGTTAGAAGGAAGGTGCATCAAGAATGCTTACTATGCACACCACGGTCACTGTCGCTGCTCTTGCCCTATGCTTCCCCATCATCTCTGTGTGCTACGAGTCACACACATGATGTGTAGAACCAAAAAATGAGCAGCGAGGGCAGTGAGCACAACACTGACGTGAAATCACCTAGAAAAGCTCAGGCCTCGGGCTAGAGAGATGGTTCAGTAGTTCAGAGCATGGAGTGTACTCTTGCACACTCTGGGTTTGATTTCCAGAATGTATATGGTGGCTCACAGCCATCTATAAGTCCAGTTCCAGGGGATGTGCCCTCTTCTGTCCTCCAGCCACCAAGCATGCATATGGCATATAAACATATATGCAGACAAAACACTCATATATAAAACAAAATGGATACATCTAATACAAAATTTTAAATGAAAAATTTAAATAAAAAGAGCTGATAGGAGAAGTTCACAGCATATTGTGTTTGTGTGCCTTGGACCTCACAGGAACCTTCTTTCCAGCAACTCCTTTCTCCCTTTGCTATGCTCCAAAATGTGAAGCCAGCCATTGTTTTGGTGTTTTGTGGTCACCACTTCCTTGAGAACACTGGGGACCCTGCTTTTTGGACAAAAGCACTTTTGAAAATCAACAATTTCAAGGCATTTCCCCATTGCTGTTTCCCTCCCACTGGCCTTTCTGAGCGCCAGGCACAAAACAAATCCTCCAGAACTAAGTCTGGGGTAAAGAGATTCTAAGTGGAGTTCATTGATAACTTCTCACAGATGAGGACAGAGGCAGAGGTAGGAGGTGGTGGCAAAATGGAACAGGAGTGTTGGTGAGATAAGTGTAGTCCTATGTGTCAGGTCTATAGTAACCTTGGAAAGTTACTCAGCCACCCCAAACCTCGCTATCCTCTGCCGTAAAATGGGCACAGTTGGTATGGGATGCTAGAGTATAGGAGGCAATATGGAAGGGCTCATGCAATGCTCTGAAATTGCTACTCTTAATTTCACATGGTTTCTGTTTGGAAACATGGAGAGGAGTTTATATAGCTCATTTATACTCATATATACAGTGGTTGACATGCTACATCATGGAATGCCTATTTGCACTTGGAACTCCTTCTCACTATAGCAACTTGCCCATCAGACATCTGAAGAAAGCGGGAGAGCATGGGTACACAGTAAAGAAAGAGGGAAAGATACCTCCACATTCTCAAATGCACTTCTCTGAAACAGCTAAACCAGGACTGGGGTGAGGTTAATATTGAAGATACAGCATAAATTACAGAGTAAGGAGGTACATCTGTTCCTGGGGCTCAAGTCCTAGGTATTTTGTGAACTGTGTTTGAACTCCACTGTTCAAATATATACACAACGCTGTAGAGAGGACTCACTGGCTAAAGGCATTGGCTGTTCTTGTAGAGGACCTTGGCTCCTCTGGATATAGCAGCTAACAATTGTGACTCCACTCCCAGAATCTAACTCCCTTTCTGCACAGACATGGTACACAGACATACGTGCAGGACAAACACCCATACATATAAGACTTTAAAAATAAATGCTACATATACTGCCAGTAGCAGGCCTGGGATTCAGTCACCTGGAAGAAAGGTCCTGTGGCTCAGCACCCACCTCCAAACCTAAACCGAGTCAAGGTGACAACTTCATGACTTGAAAAATAACACCTTAAATTATAAGCATGCCCAAGCCCCATCCTGAGCCAGGCAGCATTGCAATGTTGTAAGCACAGATGATATAGTACTGGGTCATTAATAATCAAGTCAGACAAACGTCAAGCTGATCTGTGATGTGGCTGAATTCTTGAGGTTTATAGGTACTGGTGGTTAAAACTGCTTTAGGACTGGCCATGCAATACATCATCCCACCACTGCTTCTAACGAGAGTGTCGCTATTGTGATGAATAGCATGGTTAAAACAGCCAAGCACCAGTCTTTCACTCCACCCGCTCCCTCTTGATTATACTACGACTTCCATGGCCCCCAGATGAGCTTATTGCCCACTTTATTAAATCACCCAAGAGAGCTAGCACACAGACACTTTAAAGTGATTCGATAGCAATTCAAGGAGACTGTAGTGTTCATCGATTAGTTTTCATACTAGTGAACCACAGTCTCGTGAACTATGTAAAGATTTTGTTTCATGTTCTATTAAGACAGATCTGCCTGTAGCGTTTTTCCTAATGGTCCAGAGGCAGATGCGCTTACAGCCTTGGAAGGCAGACATCTGTACATGCATGTGCTTATTGTCTGTGAATGTCACATATAGGTCACAACATGTCAAGCTGTTGGATGAAAACTTGTGTTTCTGGGATTCCTTTTACTTCTAGTGATGGACTCTGAAACAGCTCTAAGATTATTTAAGTAGACTGTTGAAAACACCACACTGATTGTGGAACTTGTTTTCTCAAACATTCCAAGGCACCTGAGTTGGTTCACTGTTGAGCGGATATTTTGATTACTAACTGGAGCTGATTTTTGTTAACGGGAAAGAAACAGATAAGGATGCATGGTCCTGCTAAGCCCTTCCAAATCTGATGCTCGTCTCTCCAGATTTGTGCTCTCCTTGTGGTATGATGACCACTAAGTGTTTTACCAGGATTTGTCTACTCTTGGATAAAAGAGGGAATATTGACGCTGCAGAGAATTTGTGGGACACAGACTGATAAAGATGCTTATCAAGAAGCCTAGCTAAGTAACAACAATTCCTTAGTGCCTACTTCACAGGTTGCTTTGTTTCTTTGATTAGTTGACAAGTCTCCTAGATCAAGCAAGATTTGTTTTGAAGAATGAAAGGTCTCATTCTAGGGCTCACTTCATTGTGAATGAAAGTGATGTTAATTGAGGAAAAAGGTAGGTTACACTTCAAATCACTCTTCATTTAAGCTAATAAACTGATATATGAAGAACTAAAACATTATTAAATTACCACGTAAGTTTTCAGCATATTTCTGTATCTTGGATTTTTTTCTTCTCCCTGAGGCAATTCCCAAAGCTAGGTTTTTGTTTGTTTATTTGGTCAATTTCCCCCCTAAATATTTTTTCTATACGATTCTTCTTCTAGAAAAACTTTTCTGGAGTTCTAAATAATAAACAAATGTAACAAGTTTTATAAAAGATCAGATCACACTTTGAACATTCACACCTACTTCTTGAAGCTACTCAGCTGCTCTGTCATCCTGTTGTTCATTTTTTGTGAAATGATAAACTTCCAAGTAGAAAGTGTGGCAGAGCTGGAGAGCAGGTCACTGTAACATGAGATGAGTCTCCTCCTTGTTTCCCATATTTTAGTAAGGTTTTGGTTTTTGAAACATTTGCACCCTTAATTTTGGAGCTCATTATTTCAAACTCCAATAATCCTAAGAATGAAAACGGAAACTTCAGGATTTTTTATGGTTTTTAACTTGATCGTTCCCTTTCACCTCCAAAAGGGCAAGAATTTGCCCCCAAGTAAGCCATATTTATGGAAAAGCTTGATAAAAATGGTGAATGTTTTGTGTAGGCAGTGATGGCCATGGTGGCATGACCTTTCCTGCCTTCAAGTTTTATTATATGAAATGTTCATACCACTCCCCCACCCCTACCACCACCACCACCCCCGCCTGGAAATGCAGGCCTTATTTTTTGAACACTCCTTTCATTTGTCTTTTCAGTCAGAGGGAGGGAAGTGATTTGCAAAGAGTTCAGGGTTGTGATAATGTCTTAGAGAGAGTTTGAAAATGAACTACGAATAAAGGCATTCAATTCTTTCCTCTGTAGAAGTGCAGAGGAAGCTGTGATTTACAAAAGAAAGAGAGGCAATGCACTTACCCCCTCAGACACAGTGACCTGCATCAGGGGATGAAAAATATGCATAGCATCATCAAAGAACAAATAAAAAATTTAAATGTATATATGTATTATATATGGGAAGGTGAAGATACTTGGAATAAAATGACATAACAACACATCTCACATAGATTAAATATGAGAATTAATTGAACATTCTACTCTGGAGGAGAGAAGAGAATATTCTAAAACAGAAATAAATGTGTGGGTTGATACTGAAATAGTATGGCTTATATTAGTATTTAGGAAAGATCACATTTGCGATGCACACAGGCCTCCGATTCTTGCATTTTCCAGAACAGCATTGAGATCACCAACAGGATGCTGCTGCGTTGTTTGACCCCAAGCTGTGTATTGCACTCTTTCCCAGAAGTTCTACAAGGATGAGGACTTCAGGAAACTCCTTCCTTTCCTTCCATTCAGGTTTGTCTCCTCTTTTACTTGGTTTTGCTTGGCTCCTCATTTGTTAATTTAGGTCTTCCTGGCATGCATGGTTCCAGATAGAATAATATGGAAATGAGAGATATACAGAGATGAAAATGTCGACCGATAGGAAGGATTGGAAAGCAAAGATTAAAGCAATTGTGTGCTGCAGTGGCAGAGGGAAACAAGAATATGAAGGGTTAGTTAAATCAGGCTTACAAAACATGGGGACTTTTCTGGGAATCAATGAGAAAGGAAGAAGAGGAACCCAGTCAACAAACAGAGAGAAGTTGCCACTAGCTGTTAGACAGCTGCCTGTCATTAGGACTATACCCAAAGGTCAGCCACAAATTTACAAGCTCAGGGTCCACAGGCCCAACTAACCTTCCAGCATGCCTTGCTTGAAAATGAAAACATCATCACTTACCAGGAAAAGCAGGCCTCCTCTTGTTCCAAGGACCACCAGTGTGTCTTTTAGGACTGTTTCCATTCCTCCTTCTCCCTTGCCACACAAACAGCCTAACTCAAATCCAGAAGCCCGAGGAGACTGACAATATCATTTGGGTTGTACATGCTCTTTCTGAGGCTTCTAGCCTGATTTCAGAACGGACTGACCATATGCTTGGTTAGAAGTGTCGTCAGGGGACATGATTTGCACTTAGCACAATGATCATAAGCACATCTGTGGCTGTCGAAAGAGATGGTAAGTTTTGAAGTCACCCTAAAGTTTGAACTCTGACACCTTTAACATGCCCAATATTCTATACACCCCTTTGTGTTAATAAACAAGGGCCAGAAAAGCTCACAAAGCAGCTGAAGACATCAGCTGAACTCTGGAATCTGGGGAGTAATGATGACTGTGGTCAGCTAGAACCATACAGTGGTCTAGACTTTCAAACACCACTGGTCTAACTGTTTAGACAACAAGGAGAGTACACTTAACCCTCTGTTCAAGAACTCTCATGTTTGGGGGCCTGCATCTTGCTTATGGAACTTTTAGAAACCACGACTCCCAGACTCCCGTGATTCACTGAGTCTAAGTTGGGTCCCTGTGGATGTCTAGTTAGGCTGGGGGTCTGCTGTTCACATCTAACATCCAGTTGGTATCCTGACCATGCCAAACAAAGGCAGTTCTCCAAGACTGTCTTCACTTGACCTCTCAAAAGAAAAAGTAAAAATATACAAGAAAAGGCAAGTGTGGGAGCTTAGGAAATAGCTCAATGGGTAAGATTGCTTGCTGTGTAAGAATGAGGATCTGAGTTCCAATCCCCAGCCCTAACTCACATAAAAATCCAAGCGTGGGTATGCATTCCCATAACCCCAGTGTTGATGGTGAAAACTGATGGCTCCTGGAAGTTCACTGGCCAAGCAGCCTAGTTAGTTAATGAGAAGCACTGCCTTTAAGGCAGAACCACAGAGAAAGACATTCAATATCCCCATATACAAATACAGGCACACTCAAGTGAATGCAACACACACACAAGCAGACAGGCACACACATGCATGCGCCCACACATGCACACATGCACACAGGTGTGCTCTTGGTCTTTTAGTCACTCGGGAATAAGCCATCAAACTCAGCAACCTAAAAAGCCATTGTCCATTATATAAGTGTGAAGAAGGCTTCTTTAATAACAGTTTTCTATTTCAAAATATGACTTTAGCAGTGGAGAAATGGCTCAGTGGTTGAGAGTCCATTCGCTTTCACAGAGGACCAGAGTTCAGTTTCTAACACCCACACCAGGAGCCTCACAACTGCCTGTAATTCCAGCCCCAATGAAATCTGATGCCCCAGACCTCCCTCCACAGGGCACTTGCTCTCATATGCCCATGCCCCTCCTGTCCCACACACAATTAGAAAATAATTCTTCAAAAGTCTGACTTTGCTTTCATTATAATACTTTTTGTAATCAAGGCAGCTTATGAGGTAGAAATTATGATAATGAAGTCCAAGGAATTATATCCAATCAATCCAAGTTAGTATAAGGCAAACTACTCATACAAGAGGATAAATTATAGAAACACCTTCCCAAAGGAAGAATAGAAAGCAATCTTAGTGGGATACACTTAACATATTTTAATTTCTGTGTAGAATTACACAGTAAACAGGCAGAAGGACCCTGAGTTCAGCCTCCATTGCCAATTAGTTCAGAATATCCTAAAGCATCAGACAAAATATCAAGTACTGAGGTAGATCTGCCATCTGCACCTCTCCCATTGTCAATTAGAGCTTTATACTAAATCTTTTGACATGCCTTAACCCCGGTGCTCTAAGAGTAACTTAAGTAATTCTCTGGGACTGTTCCTATCCAGCTTCCTCTCCGGGTTATGAACTTCACCCCTTTAATACTTTGGATGGTATGTGTTAAAAGTCTAGTTCATCGTGTTTCCCTGGGCAGAAGTAGAAATTCATGGTCACCTTTCTATGGGGCTGAGTCTTGGTCTAAAGCTAACACCTCACACCAGCTGTGAGTACTGCATAGTGAAGCTGCCCTCCCAAGATGCAACATGTTTCTCTCTCTCTCTCTCTCTCTCTCTCTCTCTCTCTCTCTCTGTGTGTGTGTGTGTGTGTGATCCTTCTGCATTTTTACTTATTAGGAGATATATTTTTAGTTACATTAGGGTCCATAATGAGAACAAACAAGGGCATGGATAGAATCACTTCTGTGCTTCAAGGAATTCTGACAAGTGTTGCTATTGTGATTTTAACATTTATAGTAAAACATGAATTACTGACAAACTTGCACTGTATTCCATAAAATACCGGTCTCTTAAGTTCTCCCTTCCTTTTTATTATTCTACATTCCTCTTGAGATCCAGTTCACCCTAAAGGTAAAGCCTCCAGCTATGGAGAAGGGATTCAACTGTGAAAATAAAATCATCTACCTATTTCTAGGGTGATACATCACTCCTCACTTTTAGAGTCTTCATTAGTATTTTTTTATTGCTTCATTGGGGTCAGAGAGATTAAAAATTGCTGGCATTAATTAATTTAATTGAACCTTGCAGAGCACCCAGGTTCAATTCCCAGCATCCACATAGCAGCTCAGAACATTCTGTAACTCCAGTTCTAGGGGCTCAGACACTCTCTACTGGCCCCATCAGGCACCAGGCATGCTCTTGGTGTAAACAAAATGCCCCCACACATAAAATACAATAAAGTAAAGATCTTTTAAGAATTAAAAATGGTTTCCTTTGTCTCTAAACTTTACTTAAAATACAAAGGTTTGGGGTGCTGTGTTTCTTTTTGGCAGCAAAGCATCAACTGACCATCTTGAATCTGTAGGTTCTCAACTACTAAAGTTAGAATGTATAGTTACACTAAGTAACTAAGTAACTGCACAAGATTTTCTTTTTATAAAATATAATTCTAATTTCATTGCTTTTGTTGTTGTTAGTGCAATACATTTAAAAATTTATTTTGCTGTTTTATTTTACATGTGTGGGCATGAGCAGATGTTTTGTGTAGCAGGTGTGTGCAGGAGCAAAGGGAGGCCAGAAGAGGGTCCTAGGTCCCACCTGTTGTGACCAGCTGACCTGGTTGCTGGGAACCCAACTGTGTCCTCCAAAACAGCAGTAAGTCCTCTTAAGTGCCCAGCCATCTCTCCAACCCATAGATGAAGTATATTTTAAAAGAATTCTGATTAATGAGTCCATCTCTTGATTTTAAAAAATAACAATTTGTTCTTAAAAAGACAGAGCACACATGCAACAGAATTCCCTATTCTCCAAATAGAACAATCTAAAATATATTTAAACACCAGTAGGATCAATTTTCAGACTTGGGTGTCATTCAAATCAACTTTATGTTAGCATATTTTTTCTGAGAGAAACAATTGCATCAGAAAAATAATACTCCTTTTTGTGTAAATATCCCAAAGGAATAACCATGTTAATAATTCTTGTAAAATATGGTTATATGACAGAGACAATTACTTTTCACCATTTGGGTTTATTTATTCCTACTGAGTACTGTTTAACATGTCAGTCCCAGGAAACAGCAACAACCACAAAGGGCTAATAAACAGTCAGTATCAAAACATTTTGTGTGACAATTTGTCCGTAAACACATAATAACCTGTCATTTCTACGGCTTGCCCATTATGGAAATCTAATGTTCAACCCTGGAGACTGAGTTCCCTGTCACCATTTAACTCCTCCCGATATGGAGGCTTTTACTTGATATTTTTAGGCAAAGAGCTGTCAGGCTAATCTGAGGACACTTGAGAACCAAGGATTAACTGTCACAGACTCCTAGCACGTTAGATTCCTTGTGATTTGGTAGAGACTTTTTTAAAAAAAACACTTTTCCATTAATGACTGATCAGGAACCCTGCTCAGTCCTCTTCAAAGTATTGCTGATTTACAGGAGTAAATTTAAATGCTCTTGGCATCTCTGAATTTGCCCCTAAAGTCCACTCTTCCTGGGGTGAGATGAGGTCTAGTTAAAAAGCCTTCCATGCAAAGGAAGTTTGTGAGGAGATGGCATGGACACCCTCCTCCGTCTTCCAGGAGCAGTGAACCATGGCTCCTGAACCATGGGTTTCTGCACCCTCGGGCCCCTTCACCCTCCACCCCTGCATCCCACACCTCTTTTCCACAAGCCTCTGGGGATAGAAAGGGAGCTTTCTGTGTATACACAGCGTTCAAGCCCGGACAGGACAGCACTGGGACCCCAGGGGTGTACATAGGTCGGAGGCACCAAGAGTCAGGCTGGGCCACTTCCTGTGTGGTGACCTCTCAGCCTTGGGTCTCCAGATGCTGCATCCCCCGTGGCATGTGGTGCAGCCAAATGGCTCCAGCGTGTGTGCCTGTGTGCGAGGCATTGCTCGTGTCTCCACCTGGTGCAGGACCAAGGCAGGTAGAAGGCAGGCTCTGAGCTCACAGAAGCGGCAGGCCAGGGTGGAACACAGAAGCTATTTCAAGCACAAAGCCAGGCAGTACACTTGCAGATTGCCCTCACTCTTAAACCCGGCTGTGAATATACTGGATTTAGTTAG